GGGACCTGGGAATATTCACCCAGACCACTTCAATGAGCTGAAGTAGTTCAGGTGCCTATAGTGTGCCTTTAGAGATATCGTGATTCATCAGACTAATCAACCTTCTTCCATTGCTCCATGGCAAACTTTGATGTTCACATAACCATTGTAGGCACTTTTGTGGTGGACAGGGGTCATCATGGGCACTCTGACTGTTCTGCATCTATGCAGCCCCATATGCAGCAAACTGCGATGCACTGTGTGTTATAACACCTTAATATCATGGCCAGCATTATGTTTTTCATCAATTTCAGCAACAGAAGCTCCTCTATGTGATATGACCAGGTGGGCTAGTCTTTGCTTCCCATGTGTAACAATGAGCATTGGGCACCCATAACCCTGATGCTGGATTACTGGTTTTCTTTCCTTGCACGACTTTTGGTAGGTAATAATCATTGCATACTGGGAACACCCCATAAGACTTGCCATTTTGTTTTGAATATTTTTATTTTTTAAGCACAATAGGAATTTAGGCATCAAGCTGATTTATAATACAGCAAATGATTGCCCACGCAGGGGCTGAAACATTGGTCTAACACAGTTTTCCTTTGGTTGCCTGCGCAGAGGCGGATATGTTTTAAATGTTTCATTTGTATTTGGCGTTGCAAGTACAAGCAGGTAGTCATTCTTTTTTCATGGAAAGCTTATGGTTGCAGAGGTGTTTCAGAAAAAAACGTGCAGGTACATTATGAACTAGGATTTGTAACAGATACATGCTCTACTAATCCATATGACTTCGTTCAAGTTGTGGTTTTAGACTATTTTTCCATTAGACTTGCCATTTTGGAGATGTTCTTACACTGTTGTCAAGTCACTTGGATTTTTTCGCTTGCCTATTTTTCTTGCTTCCAATACATGAAATTCAAGACAGTTCACTTTCTGCCTAATATATCCCACCCCGTGACAGGTGCCATTGTAACAACATAATCAATGTTATTCACTTCAACTGTCAGTGGTTTTAATGTTCTGGCTGATCAGTGTAAAACCTAGACTCTAAATAAAATTTGGGAACAATGTTAAATGTAGTTGTGTGAGGGGCAAATAAGGCCATAAGGGAAATAAAAAAGGGGAGGGGAATAAGTCGGTTGTGGTGTGCCGGAACCGACGTCGTGGTAGGCCTGTAATAAAAGAGGGCCCACCATTAAGGTGTAATGAAAAGTATAAATAAAGGGAGTGGAGGGTGGGGACATGCGGATCGTCAAAAACGAACGGGACTGAGGAAGGTGAGGAGGGGGCTTAAGTAGGTTACCATGCCCCTCCCACAACTGCAGGCCAAGCCTTCACATTTGTGTGAGGGGCAAATAAGGCCGTAAGGGAAATAAAAAAGGGGAATAAGTCGGTTGTGGTGTGCCGGAACCGACGTCGTGGTACGCCTGTAATAAAAGAGGGCAAAAGGAAACCTGTTTAAAGCTATCAACAACCTTAAAACCTATCTGTATGGTAACAGCTGAGTGAGTAATGAGGTGCCCGGCGCTAAGGAGAACAAGTTGGCCATCTAGCGTAAACTGGGTGTGGGGTAGAGAAGGTAAACAATACACTGCATAAATAGGTGAGATTCCTGAGACAAAGGCTGCAAAAAACATGGTGACTGTGGGAGATATGTGTGTCCACAAGAAAACTGTATAGCGGCTCGACAACTAGACTTCCTAGTAACCTAGCTGAAAAGACTAGCGTCCCCCAATTCCGGCCTACCTCACATCTGTGATTAAACGGTTGATCCAAAAGAAGGCGAAAAACCCAGTTTGATGTGCTTTCCAATTTGCAACAAGCTAGGGAAAAATTCCTTCTTGACCCCAGAATGGCAGTCGGATTTATCCTTGGATCAAGCAGAATATCGCCCTACATTGAAAGATGATGTCCGGTAGTGATGACAAGTGTTAAATAGGTCTGATAGTGATTATAAAACTTGGATGTAGATGGGAAATCTGGAGATTGAAAATTCACAGAACCTGAACCTTGAGTAAGGTAATAAACTGGTATGACGTCACGAGAAAGCGTGTGACTAGAAACCTGTACAACATGTGAAGTTATAGACCGGATAGGTAGAATTGATGCAAGAAAGAGATGGCCAAAAGATGCAAAAGTCAATTGCGGACAACATATCAACAGAGACAGTACACATGATAAGTGAGACAGGAGCCTCGAAAGGGAAGAAGGACCGAAAACACAGGCACTGCGAGTGCTAGAAAAATGAGAGCCCGACGTGAAAGAAAGCAACCACGGGCTCACAAAGGCAGCCCACGAACAAGCCCAGAAAAGCCGGGAATGGAAGCGGCTGCGGGTGAGGCCATAGGCAGGGCCACATTAGAAAGCGTAAAGGAGGCACAGTACTGATCATACTAAAGAGGTGCTGGAAGACCGGTTCGGGTCCCGCCAAGGCGGCAGATGCCAGTTACCGAAACTGCCACCCGACACTGCCCCATAGCCGACTGCGGCGATACCCGTGTAGGTGGACAGGCACCGATGGAACAGCTGACCAAAAGGCTGCCATGGGGGAATAAGCTGACTCGCGAGAACCGCAGCAAATCGAGGAAGTGCCCAGGACCTGAAAAAGAAGATAGGCATACCCAAAACTCCACAGGGCGATGAGAGCCAGACCTGCTAGAAAAGACGAAGAAGACCCTGCATAAGCGACCCAACATGCGCGTGAGCGTGAAAGAGTGTAAGTGTGCGAGCTGGCATACTAGCTAATGACAAAAAGGCGAAACAATTAAAACTAGGTTTGGTGACAGGTGAGGCCCTGCTAGATGCCAAGTAGCGTGAGAGGCTCTAACTATGCGTTGGCGCGAGGGGATAGCGTGGCCACTGAAACGTTGTGGCGGGGTGGCGGCCTCTCGGTGACAGCTAAACATAAGATAGAACGGGAGTGACAGGTGAGGCCCTCTCTATGCCACAGTGCGAGGCGACTAACTATGAGTAGGCCCGAGGGGGGGTAGTACCTCTCAGTATGAGGATGGGTGTTGGCCTCGCGGGACCACTAGCCTAAGGCGAAGAAGCCAGAGGGGGTGAAATTACAAACCAGTGGACACCTAGGACCCTGACAGCCAGCCGCAGCTAACTAAGAGGGGAGGGAAGGCAGTGTGAGAGGACAGATGTGCTGAAACCCCCAAAAAAAAAAAACGTGTATTGAAACCTGTGTGGGTAAACGAGGAAAACCGTAGTGCCGACCGTAACCGAAATTAGAGTAAGCACGACAGAGTCCGGGCGGATAGGCTGAAAGGAGCAAGCTCGGCAGTAGGTAACAGAAACTGTGGTGGTGTAAACCCCATGGAGGTCATGAGACCCAGTGCGAGTGTGCACGCGTGTGTGAGCGCTGGCATACTAGCTAAGCCAAAAAGGCGAAACAATTAAAACTAGGTTTGGTGACAGGTGAGGCCCTGGTGACAGGTGAGGGGCGTAGTACCTCCGAGTATGAGGATGGGTGTTGGCCTCGCAGGACCACTAGCCTAAGGCGAAGAAGCCAGGGGGAATTACAACTAGTGGACACCTATGACCCTGACAGCCAGCCACAGCTAACTAAGAGGGGAGGGAAGGTAGCGTGAGAGAGGGTGGATTTGAGGAACGTGCATCGAAGAACGTGAGGGTGAACGAGATAGTACCGCTGTGCCGCCCGTGACCGAAAAGCAGAGGAAGCACATCACGGAGTCCAGGCCCAAAGGAGCATGCCCTGCAACAGGCAATAGAGTGGCCACATTTCCCCCCCCCCTCCCCTAAAAAACCCTGCTCCCTGGGCCTTGTGAAAACCGAAAGAGACTCGCCCGCCTGCTAGTCAGACAGTGAAGACACACCAGATGCACATAAAAAGCAACATCCATGCAATTAATAATAGCAGCAACAGATATCTGCATAAATTATATCTGCAAGCATGACTGCTTTCCCCATGGCAAACTCTGTCCCTTGCATGAAAGCAAACAGTGAGCAGGGAACAGCATATATGAAGCAGGCACTCACACACGTTTCATCTCACATTTGCACTTTTTTTTTTTTTTTTTTTTTAACAAGCACCTTAACAAGCTAAAAGCTGCCCTGTAAATAAGGAGTTAAACAGTTATACAGATGAGATATAACCCCAGTGAATGTCAGACTCCGTGCGGTCCTAGCAGTAGTGAACGGGTTAACTACTCCTGAATGTCGCTCACCTAACCAGATTTGTACAAGGACTCCACAAAAACATATACCGGTCATGCCCCAAGCATCCCACCCCAAACCAGAACTGCACCCAACAACATGCCGAGAGAGAGTGAGAGTGAGAGGTGGTCGGGGCTGCTCAATTACCCAAAGCTTCTCTAGAACTCCGCTTGTTACATTGTATCAGGGCAGCCCACGTGCACGGTCTGGATACATAGAATCCAGGAGCAGACACACAGCTCTGCACTGAGGGGAATACAAACTTGGCTGGGAGGATAGCAGGGACTCACTGGCAGGGGAGGAGAACTTGGACCTATACTGCCGCCGACCGACAAGTACACCCGAAAGAGAGGCGCCGCAGCAGAGCCCCCCCCCTTACCCTCTTCCCCCCTCCCCGCGAGACCAAAACCACCCGCAAAACCGGAGACCAGAGGCAGAGCCCAGGACGAGCAGCAAGGGAACGGCGAAGCCACGAGGAACCGGAGAGGAATGACGACCCGACATGCGGATCGTCAAAAACGAACAGGACTGAGGAAGGTGAGGAGGGGGCTTAAGTAGGTTACCATGTCCCTCCCACAACTGCAGGCCAAGCCTTCACATTTGTGTTTTAGAATTATAACAAGATGTTATAAGTGTAGATGTGGTAATGCCATAAGGTGGTCGGAAACATTGTCTTACCAGCAGTGGTGTATCCTGGTTTTGTGCTGCCCTAGGCAGGACAAAACTCAGGCACCCCCCCGTGCCACCCCCACCCGCGCAACCGCCACCCAACCTTCCCCCCTGCTCCGCCTTCTAAATACACACACACACATTCACTGACAGATACGCATTCACTAGCTAACAGAAACACACAGTCACTAACAGACACACACTCACACACTCACTAACAGACACACACACTCACAGGCAAACACACACACACACACTAACAGGCAAACACACACACTAACAGACATCCACACTAACAGACATCCACACTAACAGACACACACACACACTAACATACATACACTAACATTAACATACACACTAACATACACACACTAACACTAACATACACACTAACAGACACAAACACTAACATACACACACACACACTAACATACACACACACACACTAACATACACACACTAACAGACACACTAACAGACATCCACACACACACTAACATACACACACTAACAGACACACTAACAGACATCCACACACACACACACTAACATACACACACACTAACATACACACACTGACATCCACACACTGACATCCACACACACACACACACACACACACTAACAGACACACACACTAACATACACACACTAACAGACATACACACACACACACTAACATACACACACTAACAGACACACTAACATACACACCAACTACACACTACCCCCCCCCAGCCTCCTTACCTTGTAAGTTGGGTGCTCTCTCTGGGCCAGTGAGGGGGAGTGGTTCCCTGAGCGCCAGCCTTAGCTCATGCCGCGAGGAGGCCGGAGCCGGAAGATGACGCCATACCCGCTCCCCGCCTCACTCTGCTGGCGGCGCGCGAGGGAGCTGAGCAGAGCCAGGAAGAGCTCCCTCGCCGGCCGCCCGCCCGCCCAGCGCTGCAGCCACTGCCGCCCAGCGCCCAGAATGTCTGTTAGCCGCGAGGCTAACAAGACATTTGCCTTGGGCATTTGGGGGACGGCGTTTTTTGCCGCCCCCTGAAAAATGCCGCCCAAGGCAAATGCCTTGTTTGCCTTGCGGCTAATACGCCCCTGCTTACCAGTGAGATTCGATTGAGGGGAACATCTCCCTCTTGAGCCTGGTAAAATCGAGAAAAGTGTCTCTGGAAACTGTGCCAAAAGATGGACCAGCATGGGACATACACCTTTGTTCATGTTTCACCTTTGTGCAATATGACACTAAGCAAGTATACTTAGAGCCAGTTATCAAAAGGCTCTTGAAAATGTGAGCAGTTTTTTCTGTTATATTTCTATATTTCTTAGGCACGGTAATACGTTGTTACTGTTTGTTATTTTTGTCCATGTTTAACTTATTTCTGCGTGTTGGGCCACTGGTTCATCCTGACATTGCGACAGGGTCATGGACCCTGCAGAGTTAAGTCAACACATGTTGGCTTGCGAAAGAAGGCTGGAAGACAATGATCACCATATAGGTCAATTTTCCCAGGCCTTTCAGACATTGTTGGCCCATACTGCTCACCTCTAACCGTAGGATCAACGGCCTCCTCCAGCCCTTCGTGTTGCTGTTGTGCCCATAGTATACAAGGCTCCGTCTATATCCCTCTCACTACCCCCTCATTTCGGTGGTAATGCTCAGGAATGCTGTGGTTTTCTTAATCAAATCGAGTACCACTTCGAGGCCTCCCCCGGATCCTTTCCTTCTGATAGATCCAAGATTGGCTATCTGATGAATCAGTTACTAGGAAAGGCATTAACCTGGGCAAATCCTTTATGGGAGAGCAACAAGTCTATAGCATATGATTATGCGGAATTCAAGTTAACGTTTGACCCGTTGGGTAAGGAAAAGGATGCAGCCAAAGCCCTCATGCGTATAAAACAGGGCAATCGCTCTGTTGCTGATTATGCCATTGAGTTTCATACCCTTGCCTCAGAGGTAGATTGGTCAAACAGTGGCCTTGTCACCGCTTTCGCTAAAGACCTGTCCAATACCATTATAGATGAGGTTGCTGCCAATGACTTGCCAGAAAGAGTATATGTTGTGGTGTGACCTAAATATGAATATTAATCTCTTAATACATAATAATTAAGCAATACGGAACAACATTAATATTTTTATAATTCATGGTATTATGGTCGAATATGTGGATAGAAAATACACAAAACATTGCAATATTAAATGTATATTTAATATAACTATAATAAATAAACAGATGCTAGCGGAATGTGAATTTCAATAATTATACAATACAATACTACACAAAACACTATTGGTTGCTAAGGCTATTACAATTGCTAACTGTTACAATACAAACATATTACTTACAAGGCCCCAGCCAAAGGGCTGGGGCTAAGTCAGAGCTGGTGCTACATGATCAGTCAGGTACAGGCAAAACAGAGCTTGCTTCTCCTAACATCTGGGTTTTATTCAGTGTAAGTAGGCTGGCCTGTGATGTCACTGCCAGAAGCACAGGTCTTCCTACACACTCCCCCTAGTGGTGCCCCCAAAGCATTACACTAAATATGCTTTACTGACATCTAGTGGTGCGTCTAAAGCATTAAGCTCATTATGCTTTTTTTATGACAAAAAGTCATTAATTAATAAATACCATTACAGTATATAACTTATATGATACAAATAGATAACAGGTTAAGAGAAAGTGAAAGGATCAGAAACAGACCTAGAAGAAATAGCACTTTTCTTGCTCCCTGCTTCTCCAACCCTCTTGTTCTTAAACCCCCTATTGTAGCTGTCGAACCTATGCAGTTGGGGCCTTGCATAAGGAACATATCATTTTACAGGTTATCTCCTCACCCTCTTTTCCCATTGTACTTGGTTTTCCATGGCTAAGCAAACATGATCCATGTATAGATTGGAGGAAATGGGAGATACTAAGGTAGGGTGATGGGTGTTGTAACAGATGTTTAAAGCCTATACCAAACAATTGGCTACAAAGAGGTGTTTAATAAAGTACATGCCGATACACTTCCACTGCATAGATCCTATGATTGTCCTATAGATCTATTGCCAGGTGCTATACCCCTTGTAACGGACCGTTTTGCAAAAAAGGGGAAAAAAACGCTTAGACGATAAACCCCTTTCAGAGACAGGCACAGCTACTGTAGAATCACCAAAACTCACGAATTGAATACAAGTGAATGCTCCAAACTCCCGAACGGCATACAAGGGAATGCTCCAAACACTCGAACTGCATACAAGGGAATGGTCCAAACACTCGAACTGCATACAAGTGAATGCTCCAAACTCCCGAACGGCATACAAGGGAATAAGGTAGTACTCCAAATACACGAACAGGAACCATACGAATTGCTGCTACCAGACGAACAGGAAAAGCTCCCAAGTGGCTTACACTCCTGGCAATCAGTCCTTAGCAGCATACAGTAAATCCCCCCAAAGACGAGACAAGGCTCCGTGTTGAGGGTCAAGCAGTGGTCTGTTTAATGAGGGCTACCTGCCCAGTATTTATGCAGGTCTCCCACCTGGTGGACACTCCCCTATGGGACCAAATGGGAGACTGTGACAAAAGACAGACAAGTAGACAAATAGGACACACAGTCACAATATATTCCCACAATGCATCCTGGCTTCCTCCCCTCTGCCCTGGGAGATAATTGGGAAGTAATTAAATTATCTCCCAAGACAAAGGCAAAACTCCATTACACATGTGGGGATACAAAACCAGTATTATACTTTAAAATACATAAAGTAACATTTATTACATAAAACACAGACATGTAACATATCCCCAGATAGCTCAGGTCTGAGCGCACATTATTAAGCGAATGGCGCTCAGACCACACGAATACAGTTTAATCGCCATGGAGCCAAAGTCTTTACAGTCAGTTTCATACGAATGGGCTCCATGGGATTCCTATCTGGGGTATAACACATTCAACCAAAACTACCGAACACCGGGCCGTTCGTGCACTTCCACCGAACAAGAAGGGAGGTCGGCGGCTTCAGCGGTGTTCGCGCAAAACTGTGTCCGATTTTAGTTCCATGAAAATAGGGGCGAACACCGCTGTGCATTTGTATGTTTAAAATGGCCGCGACCTCGTGTTCGGGATACGAATGGCGGCCACCCAGCATTCGTCAATTAAGCTGCGGTTAACCGCAGCTTCAGGGAGGTTAATTGCCGGCACACTCCAGCTCCCAGGTGGTCTATTCATTCGTGCGGTTGTTCGGTAGATTGAATCTACCGAACAACTGGCAGAAAAGCACGAATACAGCTTTTCTCCAGGCGAAATAAAGTCTTTTAAAAGGGGGCCATAGTCCAGAGGCAGCAGGCGAGCAACCAGGCTTCTCCAATGCAATGTGGCGAGATTGGTCTCGTCACACCCCTGAAAGGGAAAGTTTATATCCTGTCTCCCCTGGAAAGTAAAATCATGGAGGAATATATACAGGATGCGTTAACTAAAGGTCTTATATGCAGATCCTCTTCTCCAGCGGGAGCAGGGTTTTTCTTTGTATCTAAAAAAGAGGATGATCTGCGTCCTTGTATTGATTACAGGGTGCTCAATAAAATCACCATAAGGAACGCTTACCCTATACCTCTTATTTCAAAACTTTTTGACAGGTTAAAAGGGGCTAATATATTTACTAAACTGGATTTAAGGAGGGCTTACAATCTAGTTAGAATCAAGGAAGGACATGGATGGAAAACAACATTTAATACCCGTAATGGACACTACAAATACCTAATCATGCCTTTTGGGTTATGTAATGCCCCTGTTGTTTTCCAGGATCTCATCAATGATGTATTGAGAGATTTTATCTATTCCTTCGTGTTAGTATATCTAGATGATATACTGATATATTCACCTGATAGACATTCACAATGCACAAGTTAAACTAGTTCTACAGACCTTACTCAAGAATGGTCTGTATTGTAAAATAGAAAAATGTCTATTTGATCAGAAAGAGTTACAGTTTCTTGGATATACGATATCTACCTCAGGATTCAAGATGGATCCCAAGAAACTAGAGGTGGTGTTACAATGGCCTCTACCTCACGGTATAATGGCTATCCAAAGGTTCATCAGGTTTTCCCAATTATTATGATAGATTTATGAAGAACTTTTCTACAATAATAGCCCCGATCACTAATTTGACATGTAAGACAGGTAAAGGTACATCATGGCCAAGGTCTGTCCTTGACCTGCCTGACATCCTTCAAATTCCTTCTACTTTTCATGTTTCTTTATTGAAGTCACTTATCTGCAATAAATACACTACTCCTTCTGCGCCTCCCCCTCCCTTGGTGGTTGTGGTTAAGGAAGAGTACGAAGTCCGTTCTGTTTTGGACTCCAGGTTCTTCTATCTGGTGGAT